CGTGGGAGACTTGCAGGGCTCGTGTGAGTGTGTGTAGTTACTAGCAGTGCCCCACAGTCTTTTATGATTCATTAGTCTGCTTTACTCACAGGCAGGAAAAAATTAAAGCTACCTGAAATCCGAGAAGTATTTCCTGTCGTGACAAACTGATTCTTTCAGGGCATGTTTTGAATGAAACTTTGGAGAGCAGGACATTCTGGTTTTACTACAAGGCTATTTCTGCACTGTTCATGTGTATTCAAAGCAAGTACTGTGATTTTTATTTTGCAACTGCTGTTTTATGGAAGTGGAGCAAATAATTACGTGTGCAGGATGGCTTAGCGTTGCAATCCGTGCGTTACTTTCTGAGTAGACTCTGAAAACTTGTTTTTACTTCTTTTTTAAAGAAGTAAAGTTTCTACTGAGGCTCTTAAAAATCTTTCTCTGAATAGGAAAAAGATCAATTTCAATCAAATAACTCTTCAGTTTTGCATGCACAGCAGAAGACTCCACTTTCTTCCTAGAATATCAGCTGTGTGGTTTGAGTAATGATTTCTTTTTGTGCGATAGGGATTAGCTAGTTTGGCAGGAGAGGGACAAACACCATGAGAGAAATGAAAGTAGTGTGGCAGAGGAGTAGTAAAACGAAAGTAGATAGGGTGGAATAAACCAATCAATATACAGAAATAATTTTAAGAGCACCTAGCTGCACCATAATGATGTCTTTTTTTAATTTTTTTCGCGAGTTTTATCTATTGTTCTGCGTTATGTGCCTGAGGAGCACTGGGTGATGCCAGGAGGACGGGTACAGCTGCTGTTCCTTAGGGTCTCCCTCCCCTGCACTGTGTGATTAATGTACAAGGAGTACATCTGTGCTCGTGGCTCTGTGTTTTTGTTTCAGCAATGCACAGAAACATATTCAAAACTTTTTAAAAGCATCTCATTAACTGAAGACTTAGGTTCTGGCTTTTAAGAGTCATGGCTATTTATTAGCTGCTTGTAATGGGCTGTTTCCAGCATAAGTGGTCCATATGCTGGATGTTGTAATACCAAGGCACTGCTAAGTGAGACAGTGGACTGTTTTTCTTTTAACAAGAATTTAGCTCTTTATTGTGGTAATTTTTGCAGGTGGAATCTGAACTATCAGAGGAGAATAGCAGTGCACAGGCTGATGCTCCCTGTAGTTATTTGGCCGAGTTGAAATGATATGAATTCCTGTCTTGTCATTCAAAAGGCTAAAAATGGTCCAGACTATCAAAGTAAATTTTTTCTTTATTCTTTTTTTCCTTTTAATTTATGCTCTACAGATGCTATGGTACTGAGTCAGATGTCATTGGAGTGACTATCCATTTTGGCTCAGCTCTCCACTTACCCATGGTAGCTAGAGAGATCTATGTAACCATGGAATACTGTTAATTCTTCCAAAACCCAGTACAGCTCTGAGTTGAAACGACTCCCACAGATGTTGTAGTGGAGCAGCTGCTGGAATATCACAGCCAGAAGTGCTGCCTTGCGATACGGTTTGTTCTGGACATAGCTCCCGTCCTTTCTTCATAGCATCTGGTGTAACATGTGTCAGAGCTGTAGCTCAAAATCTTACGGATCAAATATCTTCCTACATCTTGTCCTCACTGAGTTTGTTTCTCTTTTTATGTTGTTACGGTGTATGTAGAACTGTCGTGCTAATAGCAGGTATTTTTAGTATCCCTCTGTTATCTTTTTCAAGTCCTGTTTGCCCTGAGTTTCCTTGTCCAGGCTGACCCAAACCACAATACCAAAACTGCCTTCTCTTTTTTTTTTTTTTTTTCATATTCCTAATTGATTGCTTTCTATTCACTGCTTATTCTCTCTGCTAAGGACACACACAGTCCCCTTTCTCGTTAGAGCTCTCTTAGTTTCCCTTTCTATTTCTTCCCAACTCTGCTTTTCCCCTGATTTTTTTTTTTTTTTCCTGCTTTGCATTTGAGAAGATGACGACAGTCTTTTGGTCAAATGTAAAGAGTGAAACTTGGAATCTTAAAACAGAAATCGTTGCGTCTGTAATACACCTTTCTGGTGGTTGCTCAGCAATAATACAGTTCCAGAAAAGGTAGCTTTTACAGTGTAAGAACTAATGAAAATTTGTTTCCTACAGACTTTTGTGGAATAGTTGATCAACTTTGGTGACTAAGATACAAGGTCTAATGGAATCTTCTCTCCTGGACAGACCATTTATAAGGCTCTCTCCTCCATGGATTATCTGATACCGGATAAGGACTGTGCTCATGCTCCAGAGTCTTCTTCAGCAGGGAAATTAAGTCTTTATTGCCTACCTGGTTGTCTAAAACTTTTAGACACTTCAACATTTCTGCCCCCAGTGTCAGAACTGGTTATAAATGACCAAACATTCTGGTTCACCACTTACTCAAGGGTGACAACGGAGAAATACACACATAGACAAAGTAATGTTATTTCTCTTGGAAATTGTGCAAAACCCCAAAGCATTTTGTTTGTAAGTAGTTCTTCAAAGCTATAAAATGCTTTCTGGCTCTGACCTTTAAATTGGTGTAGCCTGGAGGTACCTTTGTCATTATTTTGGCTGAATGAAATACCTGTCTGTGTGATGCTTCAGTAGCTTCGGAAAAATGTCCAACTAGCTCAGAGATTTCAGGAGATGTTGTAGGTATCAGTGAAGAGAACTGAGGTTGTGATGTTGACAATGCAAGAGAGAGGGGAAAAGAAAAAAAAAAAAAAAAAAAAAGGAAAGAAAAAAAACCATCAAGTCCTGCTTGTGATTTGACCACTATGGGCATGAGAGAGGATCTGGGATTTAGGATGAGAATTCAGCTTGTACACCCCTTGTTCTGCCCAGTTCAGGCCTTACCCTCTGGAGCTATGCACTTTCAACTGGGTGCTGCTAATTTTCTAGGCATGTCAGGCGTACATGTGCTGGATTTAAATTAGTTAGCTTGCTTATTGGTGTTAATTAATCTACTGCAGCATGAAATTTAGTTTGGGCTTTTCCCATTGGGCTTTCCCGTGATTTTTGACTATGTGGTGAATCCAGCCTGATCTGAAGTCCTTTCAAGTTTTTACTTAACCTGCGGAATGGACATGAAGAACAACGGGACCCATTTCCTGCAAAGTCCAGATGGATAATATTTATTGTTCTATGACTTCATTTATTTTTAAGTTCAGTAACAAAATCGAATTTGAAAACTGAAGTGTTTTAGTACTTGCATAAAACATTTTCAGTTCAGGTCCCAAATTGTTTTATTTTGTTTTTAATCCTAGTACCCAGTGAAATTTCTGTAACTGTTTATTTGAAAGCCAGCAGTGACGGTGCTGCAAGAGCACAATGTTCTTTTGGGATAAGATCCCCTCCTGTGCTCCTTAAAACAGCTCATTTTGTCCTTTTTCAATATAGTAATTTCAGTGCTTTGGAACTTTATGGTAGTTATCCTGAATAACAGTTTCATATTTCCAAGCACAGTCTGCAGCTGCCAGGAAAAATAAACTTGCATTTTCAGCTCATTCAGAGCAACTGTAACTAGGGGTATTTTAAACTGGGGCAAAACTAAGAAATGGGAAAATAAAGCTTGGCCTGGTACTTCCAGGGCATCCTGAAATATCATTTTTATCAAGCGATATTTAAAGTGCTAATGGTGATTGAATCATGGGATAATGAGTCTTTAGTTTATAATTTTTGAAAGCTGTTTTCTTTCATCTATGTATGATTTCTTTGAATTTATCCCAGTGTCTCAAAATGTCTTGTCTTTTTTTTTTTTTAATTTTTCTGTAACACAAAGGATTCTTACATTCTTTGACTTAAACCACTCCCAGTTTTCCAGCTTTCTGATTTTCCTAAGTCATTGTGTTAAAATCCTTGTAACAGTTGATAATTGCAGGAAAGGTCCCAACGTGTTTTGAGCTCTTGGTACGTAGACACACAACTACTCTTCCGGCTGCCACCCGTTTTCCATCTTTCATGTCTCCAAGCTTACCAATGCCTTTTAATATTTGTTGCTCTGAGGTTGTCTCTTCAGCTGTATTATGAGCATCCTCTGATCTAGTCTTAATTCCAACCACCTGCTCCCAAGTGCATTTATGCTGTGACCCAAGAACAGGACAGGTCCCCTGTGGAAGTGTCAGACCTTCTCAGGTCTGGTTGATTCATTCACTCAATACCCATTTCTTGTGCAGGTTCAGTTCTGCATCACTTGTAAACTGAGCAAGTTTTTCTGGAAGTGAAAATGGTTCAAATACACAGGAATTACTGCTGTACTGAGCACTGAGGACATACCAAAGTCAGAGCACATCCATCCGTTCGTTTTTCTGAAGCTTTGCTTCAAAGCTTAATAATTGATCACTCACAGAAGTATGTTTCTTAATTTAAGAAATGGCCTTTCAATTAAATGGGTATTGCATACTCTGTATTTTTTTAATCAGTGATGACTACTTCATCCCCAGCAAATGGGTTACGTTTTCCACAACACCCAAGTGCCATGGATGCTACATCATCATAATTGGTCCCTTGCTCGTCTGAATTATTTTTGTAAAGATTGCTGGTTTACATCACTCTATTCACTTTCCACTTTTCATCTTGGCTACTTAATTGGATGTGAGTTGTCAAAAACACACAGTAAATAACATTTTTTTTTGGCTCAGGCGATCACAAATTCATTAAGGAGATCACTTTGTAAACCACAGCATTTTATTTTAAACTAATACATCAAATATAATTCAGAAGTACTTCAGTTTACAGCTCCAGTGGGTGTTCCCATGCAGGAAATTGCATGGTCGATATATCTTGTGAAGTTTCCAGGCAGCGGAGGTGCTGCTATAGCTTGATTTCATTTTGCTAATGTAGAATTTTGTCTTTATTATTTGTTAAAGCAATCACATCATCTGATCATAAATGCTCCAGAGCAGTTTAAACTATTCAGATTTATTCTTATTATTTAGTGTAATTCTGTTTTTTTTTGTTGTTGTTGTTCAACTTGTTTCTTACAAACAATCTTGACAATTTTATCCTTTTCTAGATGTCCCGGGATGAGACAGTGTGTAAATACTGTGGAGTCAGCTATTTGATACTTCATGAATTTCAAGTGATGGAAGAAAAAGTCAAAACGATGGAAGAGGAGATTAAATTTTATGAAGGAAGTATAGAACGGGAAAAAGGACTTCAAGCAGAACTGCAGTCTCTTTACCAAGACCTTGAACACTATCGAGCTGAGAGTGAATCAAAAACAGAAAGGTCAGAGCATGTCATCTAGTCTGATGTTGTTCTCGTGCATGTGCATTAGGTAATTTCATTCCAAAGAAGTTTCAAAGACAAATACAATTTGCCTGTCATTTATCAGATGTGACATGTATACTGTGATACTTAATTTAAATCATATTTCATAGTATTCTCTAGAAGCAAGTTTTGAATTCCTTCAATATATTTAAAGGGAAAGAAAGGCCAGAAGGCATTTTGGAGATATTTCCCCTACATGCACTCCCAAAGGGAAATGATCAAATGTTTCATCTTACCATTCTGTAATAAAAATATTTGCAATATTGTAAATTAAATTCCACAGTATTGGGAGTTTCACAGTTCTGAAATTTTTACTTATTGTGTCATAGTAACGTGGTAAAGAGTCAGCAGTGTTCTGGCCCTGAGCTCCGAGCTCGCTCTCTGAAGGGAGGATGCAGAATTCATCACTTTCAGATAAAGCAGTGATGAAAATCGCGGGTCCTGCTTGTGCCGTTGCTGCCCAGAACCCGGAGTTTGCAAATGCTCACTGGCAGCTGTGGGAAGCTCCCAGTTAAAAGGGGGAGTTTTGTGCTCTTAAGAACTCCAGCACTCACCAATAGTCCTCAGAGCACGTTTATATTTTTAGGGCACAATGATTGGAACCTTTCAGTGTTTTCTCTTTCAGCTCGTACTGTTTGGGATTTTGTTGTGTTCTGCTCCTTTACCACATCACGATAACTTCAAACTTGGAACAGGAAGTCATACTTGGAAAATATTTGTCCGTTTCATGAGCAGACAGCACAGCTTTGATTTCTAAACCTTCAGATCGCTACACCAGATAGAAAAGTTCTTTTTGGGGTAGACAGGAGAAAACAAAGCATAAAAGGAGAGCTTCAGAGGCTTTTTTCCCCTCTGTCCTTCATAATTTCTAATATTTTTCCTGTTCTTTGGGTTTGCAGTAAAGGGTGCAAAGGTGCCTATACCCAAACCAGCTGTAAAATCCGTGGCTGATGCGTTGTTGGAGGCGGTCGGATGTCGGCAGGGGCTGCAGGACCTGGTGTCCACCTGAGTTGGGTTTTGTGCCACCATAATTAGAGTGCCATCAGGTTCTCGACCGTGGACTTCAAATTAGTTTGTTAGCTTTGATTTGCCCGTCCTCAGTGCTTGTGTATGTTGTATAATAAACTTGGACTGAGAGTGAAGTTGTTGTAGTCCATGCGAACGTTTTGGGACACGGTTGGCATTACGGGTGGTTTCTTCAGTCTAATTTTTTGCTGTGGGACTTCTAGACTGGTATTTGTGGTTCCTAATAAACCTTCTGTGCTTTTATGCTGGTTTACAACACCACGACAATATAACAAATTGGATCTTTTCCACGCTGTTCTGTGAAAGAAATACAAGTGGTTTGGCCTCTCCCAGACCTGAAGCTCTGAAGAACTTTCCTTCCTTTTTAAACTCTTGTCTTCTACTCTTCCTAGTCACATTTAACACAGATGCTGTGTGCTGGTTTTCTGTATCCTACTTTTCTATCCTTGTATCTTGGAATCTATTATGTTTCACTGATTGTTTATAGTAGGATTATAAATACCAGTGTTAATAGATAAAATATACTCTATAAAAATGCAGTTGCTAAAGTTGACTATTGATAGAATAAGGTCGTATAAACAAGGGCATCAGGAACTTCTTGGTAATTTCTTGCTCATCAGAATCAAGCTGTTTGTCAGAAGCTTTTTGTAAGGACGAGATTATGATTTGAATTATCCACTCAATCATTTTGATTTTGAAGACCCACCATAGGAATGTTTCTTGCACGACTGACTGATACCTAATAGCAAGTGATCTAGAACTGATAACACAGAGTGTTTTGAGGACACAACTACAGCTTGTCTATAGGCAAAGCACTCAAATCCATTTCCTTTTTATTTTTTTTTTTTAAGAATTTCACGTTACTATCAATGGATTTACTTAGGCTTGTGTTTGGTAACATTACTAGCAAAAGATTCATTTTAAAACACACAAGTTCACACAAAGTTGAGCAAATATCTTATAGATATCTCTACTATATCTACATATTATAGATCACTCCACTCATTGTTTCTTGCAATATTTTTTTTCATTTGACCTGAACACTCCCACCCCTAATATGCAACGTGGTCCTTGGTTTAACGTCATGTTTTTTGGAGAGTGCATTTGCTCCTTGTTCCTTTGACAGCTCTGGGTGGCAGTTGTGGTGGCAGCATTCGGTGCGTTACCCAGTGCAGTGACAGCACATTCTTCTTGTCGAGCATCGTTTGCCAGAGGTAAACTTAACATTTTCGTTGAGCTGACTTTTTGTAGCAGAGCTGGAACAGTTCATAAAAATTTTCTCTCTGCAGTTTTTTTTCCCCTAAGGCTCAACTTGATTTAAAACCTGCTGAAATCAAATGGAATACTTTCAGTAGGCTTTCATTCAGGCCATAAATCAACTATTGTGCCTTGTTAAGTAGCCTGTCTAAATATTCCTTATCTCCTCGTTGCTATCCTGGGTCTCTCCTGTTACCTTGTGCTGTTGGCATAAACTGACTACAACATACTATCTTCTCGTTCTTGCAAGGTTGACAAACCGTTCCTCCCGAACTGCAAATTTTTATTAGAAACCAAATATGCCTTTTTTTTTTTTTTCATCTCTGGTAGACCAAGAGATTTAATCTTTCTTGTTAGTTGCAGACACTTTCATTTTTATATTCCTTTTGGGTGAAAGTGTTGCCGTTGTTTGTACCTGTGGTTAACCCTGAAAGCCACCGGAGAACCTGAGCTTCTGCGGGAATTAGTTACCTGCCCGTTGGGATTGTGTCAGAAGGAGGGGGACGAACCATCGTGCGGTTAACTACGCCCATCCGATTTAGCTATTCCAGTCTTATTCCATACTAAAATGGCTTTAATTCCAGCATACTGGCATGCAAGCTGTTCCTGGAGGGCTGTGGCTCGCTTGACACAGCCGTGCCAGGCGATACACGTGGCGACTTGCGGGAGCTGTGCGGCCAGTACGGCACCGCGCTCTGCGCCGCCGGCTCTTCCGCGGGATGCTGCAAGAGCAGCGATGCTCAGTTAAGCTGAAATGCTGATGTGTCACTTAATTAACCATTTTGGGTCCGTTACCTGTTTAAACGTGTTAGTGACGGGCACTTTCATTGGGGGCTTTCTTCTCTAAGTCATGGGGGATACGTGTACAGTTGGATTTAGCCGTGTCACTGGGGGAGACCTCCACAGGTTCCTGGTGTCCCTAGAGCAGGGTTCATTAACAGGTTTTCTCTGGCAGTGTCTTTTGACATTTGAGACATTGCATGAGGGGTACGCTGTATTTGTGGCCTGGATCTTAATAATTCTCCAACATCCGATATAAGAAATGGAAAATATAATTACCAAAGATGCTTTTTTTAAAGGTATAGTGATGCTGAATACCATGAGCGTGACAAGGAACAAAGAATTTTTGTGATGTTTAGACACGTGAAGAGGTGTATAGATATCACTTTGAGTCCTATGTCTATGCTGCAAATAGATTCCTGAAAACTTTTCCACAAATCTAGCAGGAGGAGTTGCTTGTTGGTTACTACCATGAATGAGACTTACACTCCTGACTCATGTGTGTAGATGTTGAAAATTTTATCCGTAAGTACTAAAATCTTAAAGATCATGTAAACCTCACATTTTGACTTGTGGAAACTGTATTTTTCCGTATTTGTGGGGGTTTTGTGTGTATTTTCTTGAGTTTGTTAGTTCTCACCACAATGGCAAAACTTAATACTTATGGAAAATTCTTTGTTGTTGAATTTTGCAACATGACTGCTTAAGAAAGCAAGAGCAACTACCTGGCTTGGTAAAGTCTAAACTTGTAGTAAAACACTAAAGTGTCTGGGCAGTGGTAATAGCTCACTGCTCTACCTTTAGCTGCCAACCTACACCTCGTGTTGGTAGAAATGACGTGTGGTGTCTTGTCCTTCTTGTAGGAGACTGACAATACTGGAAATGGGGAGTGGTACATGCCTTCAGAACTCTGTCACCATTTTAAAAATAGGGATTGAAGGGAAAGAACACAAGGCAAAAAGGTCACTTTAATAGCTTGGATGTTGTTGTTTTTTTTTTTTAATGTGTCTGTTGAATATTTAGTGGTAAAGTGAAGTTGTGTTGGTGGAAAAAAATCTGAGAGCCAAATCTGGATGAAACAAGCAAGGAGGTAAAGAACTAACCTCTCCGTTTCTGAGTGTGGTTTAGGGCACACAGTCAGTTATTCTTGTTAAATACCATCATATGTGGGGAACTTGGGAGACTGCACATCTTCTGACTGTTTTAGGGAGCGTGACTAATGAACGAAACGTTATAGCCGCTGCAGAACTGTCATGTATTTTCAGAATGATATCGGTGTGTCATCTAACGCGCAAGAAATCAGTCCATAAAGTAGCAAATGAGTGTTCTTCATCACGCTAGAGATGTTCTGGGCAAGTCTCAGGGGGGTGTGTGCTCCTTCAGCGGCTGCTTGGAAGAGATGAGTTGATGCAAGAGGCTGCTGAGAGGCACCAGCCGGGCGTGGGACCCAGTTGGTCCTGCGTTGGTCCAACGTTGGACCTCTTGTTTCCCAGCAAAAAGAAATAGTGGAGTGGTTTTTCATTGTAGGGAGAATGTAGAGCATGTAAGTGCTGGAATTTTTCTGGCTCTTTATGCGTTTCATTCTACTTTTAGGTAGGTCAAGTTGCAGTGTTTGGAAGTGCACAAGAGGTGTTGTGTCCTTGGACGTGCCACGTGCTTGTGAGTTTTCTGGAGAGGATATGACATTTGCTAAGAAATAACGCCTTCAACCGTTTTTTATTGCATCTGTTTTGTAAATAACAGGACGGTATGTACTTCTCTAATTAGCTACATGGGGGTGTACTTATTAACCAGGAGAAGGCAGAATTTTGTATAACACCAAAGTGTTTCAGAATGTTCTTTTTCCTACTTGCAGGCTGATCTGTGTATTTTGGCCTGATGGTGTCATCGTGATG